AGAGAGACAAAGCTTCTGATTGGCGAGTGTAATTATATACGAGTCATTTTGTGGATTGCGGATGTACAGCATTTATTAAATTATTAAATTTGGTACCACCGTGCCTTTGGTCTCAGTCAGCTATCGAAGTCAAACATGTGCTCCTGCCTGGGTGGCGATAGACAAAGAGTTGATAGAACCCTTCTCAGTGCAAGCTTTCCTCACCCAGACAGGAGGTGATGTCCCCTACAGAAACCCTGGAGATGGGCCCACCGGGTGTGCCGTTTGAACTATTACCACACTATGGGATCATCAGTATGGTGCAACAAGTCATTGAAAATTAACAAAAAATTGGTCATGTGGGAAAACTGGGTGAAGGCAGGGGTCATGTCACTGGAAGATTTATTTGACGGGAAACATTTAATCTCCTTTGAACAGTGTACATCTAAATATGATATTTCCAGCAAAGATTTTTGGAAGTTCCTTCAGTTAAGGAGCTGTATTACAACAGCAGATAGAAAGGCCAAACTTGCACCTGTCTCTTGTATTCAAGAGCGATGGCTGGAAGATCAGAGGAGGGACGTCCAGATTTTATGACGTGTTTAGAAGACATCAACCCCCAAACTACGAAGGTGTTGAGCTAGTATGGGAGAAAGACCTCGGGTCACCCACTGACTGGGAGATATGGGAGGAAACAATACGGTCCTGGTACACTATAGCCCGATATGCAGACACGGCTTGTTTCATTCAGAATACTGAACAGGAATTACTGGACTCCAGCAAACATGTCCAGGATGGGACTCAGGAGACTGATACATGTTGGAGATGTGAGGAGGAAAGGGGCACATTGGTGCATCTGTTCTATCAATGTGAGACGGTGAACAACCTCTGGGTGGATGTTATCCAATGTATTAATAAGGTCCTGAAGGCAGAGCTCAGGGAGGAACCAGCTGTATGTATTCTGCTGAGGAAGTCCGGTCTGTCCACACATGAAGCGTGAAACTAACTCTCTAAACAGGAAACAGGATCGTTTGAGACACTGGAAGTCAAAAGAAAGGAATGGAGAGATGAACGAACAGAGATAGCTTCTTTTGAACAACTTATTTATAAGATTGATAATAATCTAGATCTCTTCTTGAAGGTTTGGGCTCCTTATTTGGAAATGATTGGAAAATGATGATCATGTTGGCTCATGCTGGTCCACTCTCCCATGTTCTCTATGGAGCCTCAAGGAACAGACGTGTGACATTGTTTGGTGGTGAATGTAATGTTTTTGAATTATTATTTATTATTGTTGTGTAAGTTTCTTTTAAGTTGCTTTTACCTCTTCCTGTGCTTGTTCCTGTGAGGTTTGTTTGTTTTTTTCTTTCAAATGTTGACTTAATCTTGTTTGCAGAGTGTATGTTTACATTTGTGATGAAAAGTCAATAATAAAGTTAAATTTAAAAAAACAAATCAAACCCAAGGTACAACACGTTTGGTTAGTTGTCATAATGAAGATGAAAAAAGTTCATGACCCTGAAAATAGCTGAAGCAGAACAGACACGCCTCAGCTGGTGTCTTTGTGTCGACGATACTTACAGCAGGTTTAATCCTCGACACCAAAGGATGACATTTTTCTTTTCATTCGCTAATCCATGAAAAAAAAAAGAAGCTGCACCTGCACCAGATGGAGGTAGTTATCTATCTGTATGAGGAGACAAAACAACCACAGAATGACAAAAACTCAACACAGGTCAATAGAAAGGAGACCAAAGTTTCCCAAAGAGACATAAAATGAACAAAACAAAGAAGACAGAAAACAATAAACCAAGATGGAAAACAACCACAAACTGTCAGCAAGTAGTTGGAGGTTTATCCAGCACGGTGGACCATCTTCCTACAGCTGATGAGCAGAGCAGAGAGAAACCGTCTGGAGAGGTTTTAAATATAGAAAAAGTAAAATATCTACAGGATGAAGAGATTTCCTGAGCAGTAAAGCGAGTTCAATGTCAAACAGAAGCGACTGTAGATGTCACAGGTCCGGTTGAGGGCGTGTCCTCACCTGTTCAAGAAGAGTTCCACCTGTTCAGACGCATTCATCTCATTCACAGCCGCCGAGCGGAGACGTTAACGCGTTGAGGTCAGTACAGACGCCGATTTCTTACAGTTGCACGACAGATAAATGTTTTTATTTGAGACGAAAAGTGGCTGCAGCAAGTTTTTATTTTTTACTGTTAAATAAACCGTCACGGTGAAGCGGATCGTTGTCATGCTGCACGACAGGTTCACGTCAAAACTAAACCGATTTTAGTTTAGGATGAGAACACCTATTGGGAATTTAACTCTTTGAACTCCACTGTTCATTTTACAAAAAGTTAAGACGCCTGGACTCACGGGTGTTTCTGACGTTGTGAGAAAATATTTACAGCCTTGAAAAACTCAAAGTTTTACAATCAATGCTAAATTTAAAAAAAATAAAATAAAACTTAACAAAAGAAAACCAAAGCAGCAGCTGTGTGCATGTTAACTGTATGTGATTAGTTCAAGAACTGTCGGAAAGCTAATAAATCAGATTTTTCTTTCTGTTTCTTTGAACAAATGGTGTGATTTTATTTTTTTTAGTGATAACGTGATGTTTGGGTTCAGAGAGTTTAAGCTGAAATTAAAGAGTTTATTCCGTTGACGTTGAAGAAGATGCCTCACTTTAAAGCCAAAGTGCCCGTTTTTATTAATTTATTAGAACATCTTTAAATGTTAAGATTCTTTAAAAGGCTTTTGAGAACTTAGAGCAACTCAGTGTGAACACCGTGAGCAGAAACTCAGGAGTCTGATGACTTTCCGTCGTGTCTCCGCAGATCGTCGACATGTCGGGAACCAGCTACCTGCTGACCGAGGAGCAGCTTCTCTGCTGCATCTGTCTGGACGTCTTCAGCGATCCGGTCACGCTGCCGTGTGGACACAACTTCTGCAAAACCTGCATCGTGCAACACCTGAACTTTAACTCCCAGCGCCAGTGTCCCATGTGCAAAGAGCGAGTGGACAAGAAGCACCGGCTCGGCGTCAACACCTTCATATCTGAGATGGCCGTCCAGTTCAGACGGTCGGCTGGAAGGCCAACCACCCCGGAGCGAGACGTCGCATCGCCGGGGGAAGTCTCCTGCGATGTTCCTGCTGGATCGAAGTGGGTATCTGTGAAGTCCTGCCTGCTGTTAGCATTTAGCCTGACGTGTCTGAGCTTCTACTTTGCAGCCAACATTCATCAAACAGTGTCCGGCCTAAAAAATCCCCAGCTGTTTGAGGACGAGGCGAACACCAGGTGCTCCGATCACGACCAACGTCTGCAGCTCCACTGCAAGGACGAACAAATACCCCTCTGTCAGTCCTGTGTTGACTCCAGCCACAGATTTCACCACATGGTTCCTCTGAGAGAAGAAAGCGAAGCAAAGAAGGCGGAACTGGAGGCTAAAATTCACTGGATGATCCAGGAGAGACAGACGAAGATTCGGGAGCTCCAACGTTCGGTGAAGCTCAGCAGTGACGCCGCAAACAGAGAGAAGAACGACGGCGTTCAGGTCTTCACCGCTCTGATTCAGTCTTTGGAGAAAGCAAAGACGGAGCTCATCGGGACGATCGACAAGAAGCAGAGAGCGACAGAGGATCAAGCCGGAAGCTCCATCCAGGAGTTGGAGGAGGAGAACGGAGAGCTGATGAAGCTCTTACGCTCTAAAAACCACCTCCACCTCCTGCAGAGCTCCTCGTATCTGGACGCTGCTCCGCCGGACAAAGACTGGACGGAGGTGAGCATCTGTCCGACGATGTACGAAGGACTCCTGAGGGCGGCGGTGGTGAAGGCGGTGACCGAGCTGACGGAGACGGTCCGGGGCGAGATGAAGAAGCTGCAGGACGCCGAGATCAAGAACATCCAGCAGGTGGACGTAACTTTGGATCCGGATTCAGCTCATCCTGCTCTGGTTCTGTCCGACGACGGGAAGCAGGTGCACTGTGGGGACGTTTGGAAGAAACTCCCAGAGAATCCGAAAAGGTTCGAACCTGCGATTAACGTCGTGGGAAGTCAGAGCTTCTCCTGTGGAAGGTTTCACTACGACGTCCAAGTCAAAGGGAAGACCGGATGGACTTTAGGAGTGGCCAAAGCGTCGGCCAACAGGAAGGGAGAAATTAAACTCAACCCAGAGAATGGCTACTGGACGATACATCTAAGGAACAGAAAAGACTACTTTGCACTTGCCAACTACCCAGTTCCTCTTTCTGTGACCTCCCGCCCTGAGAAGGTCAGAGTGTTCGTGGACTATGAGGAAGGTCTGGTTTCCTTTTATGACGTAGATGCTGCAGTTCTGCTCTATTCCTTTACTGGAAGCTCCTTCACTGAGAAACTCTACCCTTTCTTCAATCCTGGCACCGGTGACAGTGGAAGGAACTCTGCTCCTCTGATTATCTCATCAATCAATACACATTAGACTGAACATTTCAGACTTTCCCCATTTATTGCTTTTCAAAACTGGATCTTGCTCAGTTTAATTTGGCTTTTTCACATGAATTTGCTAAGAAAAAAAAATCTAGAAAGGAATGCCAGTTTATTAAATATATAAAACATAAAAGTAAGTGACTGTTTATGTGCTCACCTCCTACAAGTCAGTGTTTAGTAGATGTACTTTGGCTGCAGTAACAGCTTTAAACCTGTTGGTTTCTATCAGCTTGAACTGCAGTTTTAACGCATTCTTCTTTATAAAACTGTCGGTTTTGCACAGAGATCATGAGTGAAAAACCTTTTTCACGTCCTGTCCAGCTACAAATCTTCAGTTGGACCGAGGTCTGGGTTCTGACTCGACCTCCAGAACATTTACCTTGTTGTTTATAAACCTGGAAAACAAATCTTCCCTGAAATCACAGTTCTCTTGAATCCTGCATCAGGTTGTCCTCCAGGATTTCTCTACACTTTCTACACTTTGCTGCATTCATTCACCCTCTACCTTCACAAGCCTTCCAGGCTGATGCTGAGAAGATCCCCACATCATGATGCTGCCACCACCGTGCTTCATCATGACGCTGCCATCACCGGCTTTCTGACAAAAAATATTCCATTTCCCGTGTCAACAATGAAACTTGACAGTAGACAGTAGATGATGTTTTACGTCTTGTCTACTGTGTTTTACTGCGATACGATGACGGCAGCATTTTTGGTAATTTGATAAAAGCCTGCTGTGATGTTCTGGGCGGTTGCCACCGGCTCCTTTTTATCATTTACATGCCACCAACTCAACAGCTGTGGGCTTATCTAAGTAATGAAGAAACAGTTTGGGAACGTGCCACAGCTTCCGTTGATTCTTTTCCTACCTTTAAGGTCTTGAAATAAAAACAAATGGTTCTGGTTTGTGTTGGCATTTACAGACATGCTGCAGGGTCGTGTTTCCAGTCACCAGGCGTTTGGCTTTTGTCAGAGCAGACGACCCAAACTGGTTCATGAACCGGTATGTCTGCTGTGACTCACACCTGTCAGCTCTGATGTGAACATGTAATTGATTCGCTGTCATTTTTACTGTCATTCACGGTCGTTCTGTTTTTCATTTTGGTCATTTTGCGTTTTTTTTGTGGTGGTTTTATGTCATTTGTGGTTGTTTTCTATCACATTTTGATGGTTTTACATCTTTTTGTGGCTGTTTTTAGGTCATTTTGGTATCTCTGCGTCTCTTTATTGTTATTGTTTTGTAATTTTTCATGTTTTTATGGTCATTATTTAAAATCTGTTTCTAATTAACGGTCAGTTCATGTCTGTTTATGGTTGTTTTATAATCTAATCGTAGGCACTCTGCATCTCTTTGTGGCCATTTTGTCTTTGTTGTTGTCTCTCTTTGTGGCTATTTTTGGTTTTTTACTGTTTTTAATCTCCTTCTGTCACTTTTCCATCCTTTTCTGATTGCTTTGCCTCTCATGATGGTCTTTTTGCGTCTTGTTTTGGTCACTTTCTGTTGAATTTTTATTGTTTTACATTTTTCATCAGAATTTTTCATGTTTTTTTTGTTCATTTTTTATCTCTTTTTGGTCAGTTTGTGTCCTTTATGGTTGTTTTGTATTTCATCGTAGTCAGTCTGTTTGTCTTTCTGATTATTTTGCATCTTTTCGTGGTAGTTTTGGGTTTTTCTACGGTTCCGTTGTGTCTCGTTTTGATTCTTTGGTCTGTTGATGGACGTTTTTGTCATTATTGTGTTTTTTCGTATCATTGCGGTCATTTTTATCTATTTATCTTTGCTTTGTGTGACATGTTGGTTGTGTAACACATCTTTGTGGCCATTTTTCATCTCTTTCTCATTCTTCTGTTCTTTTTGCAGTGGTGTTGTCTTCTGTGCTTGCTTTGCATCTCATTTTGATGGTATTCTATCTCTTTGTGGTTGTTTTTCATACGCTTTTTATGTTTTCGCATCACTTGTCATCTGTTTGTGGTCACATTATGTCTAATTTTGGTCATTTTGCACGTTGTTCTGTCTTTCGTCTCAGTCCTTCTGCAGCTTCTTGTGGCCATTTTTTAAATCTAATTATCTTATTTGACTCGTTTTGGTTCGGATGTTGTGTTTCTTTCAGGGATAATTTAAAGGTAGAGTCCAAATTTCCTCCCTTTTTAAATAAAAAATCATTATTTTCATACATTATGCATGGTTACACTTTTCCTGTGAGATCGTCGTCTGCTTCGGTTCAAGAACTAAAACTATAAACGCATAAAACTGTCAGTGCAACACGAAGTGCAGCACACATCCTCACAAAACTTCGGCTAAAAGTCTGCACAGACCGGATGGATTATGGTAATGTGTCAGAGGCCAGGTGCATGATGGGAATGGAGATGAGTGTGTCGGGGCTGGTTGGTTCGGATATGAGGCAGATTATGGAAATATGATGGTCTGGTTTTCAGATTTACCCCAAAGCTGAAAGACTCAGAGCGTCTTATCTCACACAGACTAACTTTCCTTCTGTCTTCTCGCCGCTCAACACTCTGAGCAAAACAATCAAATATCGCTCTGCATGACAGAAACATGAGTCAGCAATGCAGGGAGGAGGAAAGAAAAAAGCTCACTTCTTCACTTCAAAGAGGCTCATTTTAAAGTAGCTTTTGTTTTGGATGCGGTTTATCCTCCAGACGACTGCACTGCGAGCACGTACAGCAGACGTTTGGCGAAACATAGAAATGTCATCCGTTAATCGAAAACTCTTAATGAGCGAATTGTTTTCTCGGAAAGGATCGAAAGCTGCGACGTAAACCTGACAGTCTGTGTTATGTAAAGGTCTGTCATCGTGTTGTTGTTTGCGGTTTCTCGCATTTCTTGCCAACTCAACAAGAATTTTAAGGGCTTGAAAGTAAACTTCTCACAGTCGACACCAGAAAACAAAGCAGAGACTGAAACCTTGATTTGTGATCGGGTTTGTTTGTTTGTTGTTGGTTTTTTTTCAGGTGCCGCCTGTAACTGAAAACCACAAGAATGAACATGAGTCACTTCTTTGTCGATCGTCCCTGTTTCATTGTTGACTGGCTTTGGTTCGTTAAATTCCTGCTTCGTTCCCTTGAATCTGAATTGTTCTCTATAGAAAAGAAAAAATCAATCTAAGTGAAGCATTTGTGTTGGAGAACATGCAACATGCAAAGGAATCCGACTGGAAAACCATCCAACAGATGTCTCAAACCCAAAATATCAGCCTCATGGTGGCGCTAGTGGGAAGATGTGGGGATCTCAAGAGTCAGTCTGATTCATATTCTGGGAGCCTTGAACTAATGCGCAACATCATGTCTTGTAGAACTTGTAAGAACATTACACCTGGTGGTGGCGCTAGAGGAACAGTCCCAGATTCATCCTCTGGGCGCCCTTGGTTTCTACACCAAACTCCATTACCATCAATTTAGTAGCTGTATATGTATGTTTCTCTGCTACACAAAAATGTACAAAAAAACGTCTGTAGATGACTGAAGTCAGTAGGGTTCATCCTCTGGGCACCATCAATACCTAGTGTCATGGTCATCGATTCAAGATATTTAACTATATAACAAAAATGATAACTCCTCCTCCTCCACGCTAAATTCCATGGAGTAGTGCTGGAGGAAAAGGAAAAACCATAATCAGTAGGTTGATCCTCTGGGAACCATGAAATTCTATTCAAAGCTTTGTACCGATTTTTGTGCTCATAGGTGTCTCATGGAATAACCAAAAATCTGGTGGTGCTGCGTGAGAAAAAGCCCAAGTATTACTAAAGTCAGTAAAATGTATCCCCTGGGAACCATGAAATTCTACAGAAAGTTTAGTACCAGTCCATCTCAGGTGTTGATGTACTGTGTTGCAAAATGAATGAAAGTGTTGGTGACGCTAAAGGGAAAGTCAGTAGGGTACATCCTCTGGGCACCATCAATATCAGCACCAAATTCAAAGGCCACCAAGTCAAGACAGTTAACTATAAAACAAAAATGGCGTCCTCATGGTGGCGCTAAAAAAAAACAAAACAGAAATTTGCAGATGTTAAGACGGTTCATCCTCTGAGTACCACCAATATCTATAATTTATTCAGCGGAGTTTGAGTCTGTAGTTGTCGATATATTTTACCATAAAACAAAATGTCTACCTCGTGGTGGTGTGAGAGGAAAATCAGGATCACTATAATCAGTTTGGTTGATCCTCTGGGAACCGTGAATTTTAACACAAAATGTTGTACCAATTTTTGCGAACCTTGAAACTTTTGTGACTTGACAGTACTGATTAAGTCCTTGAACTCAGTGAGCATTAGGATCATTTTCTCATCTATTTGACTTCTTTTTGTCCCCAGAGGAGTCGCCCCCTGCTGACTGTCTGCATTGGCTTCACTTTTCCGACCCGGTGGTAATCCATGTAGTGAATATTATTATTTGAGAGACATTGACTGAATAGATTGCCAAGACGTTTGGTATCGACATTCATGGTTCCCAGAGGGTAAACTGCGATTGCGCAACCTCCCCAAGGACGACCTGAATCTCTCACAGTCCAGCCGAGACTCATAATCAGTGCACTTGTTTCTGTCTGCTGAGCCGGATCTGAACTTTAAAGAGACTTTCCTACTTTGCTTTCAGGTAATTTGAAGCTCTTTTGTTTTCGGTTTCTGAGAAAACGGTGAATCAGCACCGGCCTGTTTCACTAAATGAGGTTTCAATTACAGAGAGACAGATGAGTGTCTCACTGATGTTGTACCTGTCGCTCATCCCTCCAGCTTCATTAACTTCCTGTTTCTGAGCCTCGCCTCTCATCTTCCTGTCCGTGTCTGTTTAAATGAGCTGTCAATCAGCCGCTCGGACCCCCGAGCCGCAATTACTCCGACATTATTACCTCGACGTACAAGACGGAGGATTAGAAACACTTTCGCCGCTGTCGGTTCACTTTAGTGCAAGCATAAGCTGAAAAAGCTGGAAACTGCACCTGACACGCAGCGAAGAAGAACCAGAATGTTAATTCCAACTTTGGTACAAGCAGAAGAGAACAAAAGGACGCTGAGTTTTAACAGCTCAGCTTTTATCGTGTTTACTGTTCCTTGTTATGAGATGTTCACCACCAGACGTCTCCCTCCGTCATCATCTACAATCTCCTCAAGGAGCCGTACAACCTCTTCCAGGACTCCTGATTAGACTCAGCTTGTCCTAATGTCCACTCAACATCCTCTGCAAGAGCGCCAGAAATCGCCTCACAGTCTTTTCAAGGACTTATGAACCTTTAAAAAGACCTCTTCAGTCCACTCAGGGACCCCTACAACCTTCTTCAATGCCATGGTAACCAAAGCAAACACCCCAACGACTCCTCATGAAGCCTCCTGATACCTCACGTTCGCCTTCCAACCTCCTCAAGGACAACAACATTCCCAAGGCCCACACTATCACCTTAAAGATGTCGACAGCATCCTCGAGGACCCCCCTCAATTCCCCTGCAACCTCCCAATAGCTTAAAACATCCTCAGTACACTCTACAACCTTTTTAAGAACCCATACAACCCTTTCAAGGGTGAGTTCTTCTTTCACAAAGACCACTATAGCCTTCTACAAACTCCTTCAAATGTCCTTGACTACTGCAACGTCCTCCAGGTTCACAACAGGCTCTTCAAACTTTTCTAAGCAACCCCCTTAGGGATCCTACGACCTCTTCATTGACACAAACACCTCACGGAGCTTTACAACCGGTAAATTTCTAAACTTTATGACCAGTATAATCCCTCCAGACTCTTCAAGGACTTCAGCAACCTTCTCAAAGACCCCGACAACTTCCTCAAGTTCTTTAACAACTTTTAAAACCTCTTCCGTGACACACATAAATCTTTACAACCTCTTTAAAGACCCCTATACCACCTCTGGGGGTCACTACAACTTAACTTGTGTGAAAAACCATATAGCCTCCTTAAGGACTCCCACAAAGCCCTAAGGGACTTCAACACCGTTTTCAAGGATCTCTAAAGCCCCCTCAAGCATTACAATGTCTTCCAGGACCACTACAAATCTTTAACAATTTCCAAAACTTTTTCAAGCACGCTAACAACCACCTCAAGGAACCCTACAACCGACTAATGACACCTACAAACACCTCAAGGACCTTTATAACCTCTAACCTGATTCAGGGATAATTACAAACAGTGCAAAGACTCCTATAGCCACCTTAAGGACACATATAGACTCCCCAAGGACTTCAAGAACCTTTCAAATGCTCCATACAACCTCTTCAATGACACCTTAAATGATCCGCTCAACTTCCTCAGGTTCTTCAACAACTTCTAAAACCTCTTTAATGACACATGCAAACACCCCATTGCCCATTATAACCTGTGTAAGGACCCCTTGCGGCTCCTTCAAGGATGGTTACAACCTTCCCAAAGACTCCATGTGGCCTCCTCAGGGATTCCTACAAATCCCCCAGGGACTTCAAAAACCTTTCCAGGGATCTTTAGAACCTCCTTAGGATTTCCAACCCCTTCAAGGATCTCGACAGCCTCTTCAGTGGCTTCTACAACCTCTTTACAAACTCCTGGAACTTCTTCAAGGACCCGTACAACCTCTTTAGAGACCCTACAACACCTTTAGCATTCATGAAACCTTCACTGTGGTCTCTGTAGCTTCTTTAAAGGCTGCTACAAACCTCCCAAGGATTTTGATGAGCTTCTCAAGGATTTCTAACCCTGACATCTCATGAACTCCTACAACTTCTTCAAGAGTCCCATTTAACTTCCTAAAAAAAAAAAAAAAAACTCCAGAACCTCTTTACAACTTCCCTAAGTTCAGCTCGACCCATTCATGAGCCTTTGAATCTTTTCAGAACCTTTACCCAGCAGCCACCAGAACCTCGTCAAGGACCACTACATAATTACTACTAGAGTACAAGTGTTTGTTGTTTTAGAACAAACATTTGTTTCATTCTCATTTGGGTTGTAATGAAATCTGCTGTGTTGTAGTTTCAAGCTGCAGCCAGCAGGTGGCGCCAAAACACCATGAAACCAGCCTGAAGCCTCCTGCTGCTTTCAGCCGGTTTATTTTGTGAGCAACACATTTCTGTGAGTGACACTGATTCCTTTGTCCTCTTTGTAGTTTTACTCAAACAGAAATAAAACGTCTCTTTATTTTATACCAGTGACGTCACCAGCAGCAGGTCTGTGGCATTTTTTATTTCTTTAAACTGTCAGTTTTCAAACCATAAAATCATAAATGTGTATGTTTAGGTTGAAAGAAATTGTCAAGATCAGACTAAAGACCGGTGTTTATGCGACATACAGTCAGCTGGTTGGGTTAATTGTTAGTTTTGTTTTTGGGTTTTAAAATAATACTGTATTTTTTTTTTATCTCCACCCGGTGTTGTGTCCGTGTTTTTTTTTTTTTCTTTTTTTTAATTCCATCCAAACTGTTAACTGGTTTTAATAATAAATGACTGTAGACACTGACTTCTCCAGTTTTCCAGGATTCCAGGATGTGCAACATCTACAGTGTTCATGTAATTTTTAGTGATAAAATTTGCCATCATGTGTTCAAATTGTTTTTAATTTTCTTATTTCAGTCAGTATGAGTGAATCATAACCTCCTCAATGACCCCTATGGTCTCTGTAATAGCCCCTCAAGGCCCCTACAGCCTCCTCAAAGTCCCAGGACCTGTTCAAGGACCAATGCTACCTCATTGAGAACGTATACAACCTCTTCAGAGACCCTCAAGCCTCCTGAACAACTCCTACAACACCTTCAAGGACGCTTACGTGCTCCTCACAGCTTATTTACGGCTCCTACAGCTTCATCACAGTCCCTTCAAAAACTTCTACAAATCTTCAAGGACCCCTACAACCTTTTCAAGTCGCCTACAATCTCCTCAACAATACAAACTCTTCAACTGCCCTTTAAAACCTCACCAAGGCCGCTACTAGCTCTTCAGAAACACCTCGGACCTCTTCACGGACCTCACAACTGCTCTCATCAAAGTCCTCATCTTCAAGGATGCCTACAGCCTTTTCAAGGTTTCTCCAGCTCCTACAACAACACTCCTGCAACCTCAGCAGTTTCTACAACCTCTCACCTTCAACCTACAGCAAGTCCTACAACTTCCTCAAAGCCCCTTGTAACATCCTACAGGACCCTCCTTGAAAGTCCTACAACCCCTTCAAGAACCTCCTGCTGAAGGCCCCTCATGATATTTCAAAGCCCCGTGAACCTTCTACAACCTCCTCAGTGACTCTCACGACCTATTAAAAGCCCTTCAAACCTATTTAAAGCCCCTACAGCGTTCTCAGGGGGGCTTCCTCAAAGATGTATAAATATCACCCGAGGTCGACTCTTACGTCACCAGTGGGAAGTCTGTCTGTGGTTTCCGATACCCGACATAGTGGACGATATGAGGTGTTTGCCATTTTGTAGTTGTGTCTATGTAGATGATGGTCCCTAACCAGGAAATACCTACCACTGTGTGAACGAGAGCGCAAAAACTTGTTTCCTGTTTAGGTTGTATTGTTGGATTAGATTCTATCCGTTTCTTACCCAAGTAGTGAATCGTTAATCTGATGCGTTTGACTACGACTAGCGAGCGACGTGATTCGTAGCTTAAGTAGTGTTCTGGATGTTACTTTGCCAAGACGCTCTCCACATAGTTCACTACCCGGTGGTCCCTACATGGGGAGTAGGGGGGGAGTGGACGGTTTCAGCCGACGTGTCTGTCTTCAAGTCAAAACCTATGACCTTGGGTTTGACCTTAAAACATGTGTTAAGGTGAAACAGCATCACCAACGTAAAGATGTGGCCTCTTATCTTCACCAAACACCATAAATCCACCCGTTTGAAGCTTTACTTTAACCTCTTGCGGGGATATTTTTGCACCGATTGACCCTAAAATCTAATCATTGAGCGGAGAGGCCATCCCCAGCTCACCTGTGAAAGATCAACTTGTTGGACTTTCACACTCCAGCTTAGAAGCTGCCCTCAGACCGAGTCTTCAGCAATTAAAATCCATTTCTGCAAGTTTCCACATAAACCCCCGGAGCTGCCTGTGAATGAGGAATATTTGAGACTCTCTTTTTTTTCTTTCCCGCAGGATGAATCGTGGCTCTGTTTCATTCATTAACCTGTTGAGTCCGCGTGTTTGCGCCCAACACACACACACACAGGGACACACGCGCGCAGTCTGCGGCTAAGCTCCGCCCACCGCCGCGCTCCGAGGGAGACCCGGCGGAGGAGAAGGAGCGCCGCTCAGTCCGCGCGGACCCACGGAGACACGCGAGCCGGCGGCCAGGTAGGAGCTGCGCGCATCGATCCGCTTCTTATCGATCGATCGGTGCTTCGGGAGCAGTTTGTGCCTCGTTAGCGGCTGATTCCGGGTTTCCTGACGTGAGAGCAGCCGGTTAATTCTTTAATTGAACTCTAAGCCAGTTTGTTGATGTGAACAGTAATTATACTGAAAGTCATTTAAATGTTCATGTGCGACTCTTTCCTCTGATTCATGCTCTTTGCACTTTGTTGGCTTCCTGTAATAATGTTCTTAGAAATACCTGTGAGCCCCTCAAACCACTGATTTATGTATTTATGTTTAATTTTTCACTCAGTTGGTTTTAATAATATGAGTCAACGCTGTCATTAGGTTTCCTGTAAAATGATTTATTTCACTGAGATTTATTTAAACGGTGATTTGTCATATATAAGATTAGATAAAACCTAATTAATCCTGATTTCCTTGAAATTCTCGCTGTCTAGGACTGAAAATTATAAAGTTTACTGTTTAATACTTTAACTCTTTTCAATAATATCCTGTATTTATGTTGTTGTCACTGTGATCAACATTAACTGTAGCTGGAATTGTCTTTAAATTACAACATTTTCTTCTTTTAAAAACTGTCGATTGCACATATCTATATATACCATAAATAAGAATATTAATGAGTTAGAATTAACATGAACCTCCTGTGTTTAACAGCTGAATGAGCATTTAGCAGCAAAACACCCCAAATAATGAAGAATAAAGGAGAAGGAGTGTTTGATCAGTGGAAAACATGGAAAAATAATTTAAATTCTAAAAAAACAGTCTATCTGATGGCATCAGTTTATCAATAATATTCTTCAAAAATAAACTTTTGTTTGTTTCAAATTGTTTGTTGGAAAAAAACTCTTAACTGTCAACTGAAGCTAATGATTGTTTGAATCTGGCTGCATTTTGACTCTCAGCGTTTTCAGCCGTCTTTCCGGCTGTGACAGATTTTACTGTCATAATTATATAAGTGTTTTATTCTTGTATAACTTTCTGGGTTTGGTTATAATCTGTTGTCTGTTTTGTTTTCTTTGTTCGTTCTGGTCTTTGTGTGTTTTAGCCTGAAATCTGTTTTATGCACCAAAAAAAAACCCAAAAAAACCAGAGAAATAACATAAAATTCTCCTTTAACCCGACAATCTAACCACCTGTCAGGATCGTATTTATCTCTCAGGTGTTTGGGTCAAAGCTTATTTATGAGTTATACAAACCTCGGTGCAAACAGAACATGTCTGAGTAAATTAATTTAAGATATCCAGAATCTGACTGAAAACGTGACCTTCTAGCAAATTGAGCAAAAGATTAACTCCAAACATCTTCCAGGAATGCTGTCGATGGTGAACATTAACAGACTAACGAGATTTAAATCCGACTCAGCTAAGATGAGACCAAAAGGAATCAACCAATCAAAAGGCAACAAGAGACTCAAGTCGACTCAAACTTCTGTCTGAGTTCACGGAGATCATTTTTTAAAAAGCAGATCCACAACTTGTGTCTAGAATCTGACAGCAGACTGTGAAGCCGACAGCGTTCCTCCGCTGAGCCGCTGTAATTATCCTTTCACGAGTCAACATTCCTCGACAGCAGCTCGGACGAACCGAGACACAGACGGAAAGTTTGTGCTCGAAGAAACGAGGATCTGACGTGATAAGAAAAAACGGTCCAGTTCCATCTGGATCCATCAGGTTCCTACGTTTCAGTGCAGCTTTTGATGCTCTGAAGCTACTTTCTCGATCTTTTCCTCCCGATAGTTCTGCTTTTACGAGTCGACAGAAGATCGTACGATAAGCAGCGACTCCATCGATGCCCTGAAGCAGACATCAGCGATTAACATGTCAGAAAACACACGAGTTACACTGAGCTGACACGAAGGAGGTTCAAAATATGTAGACATGAAAACTACTGTACCAGATGTAAAATATATAGAAACATATAGAAACAGATTCAGATGAAGGTCAGAGAGAGGTCTCAACCTGCAGATTAAGGAATTTATCAAAAGTTGTTGCATTTATCGAGCATTTCATTTCATTTCTGTCTTGTCCAACCAAAAAATTCAAAGATATTTAGTCTTTTTTAATGTCATTATTGGGTTTTTTGCCTTTAATTTAGAGCAGTAGAGACAGACAGGAGAGACCTGCAGCACAGGGTTGTGAGTGGGAGTCGAACCCACGACCACTGCATTGTGGAGCTATAGCCCCTGTTCAGCTAGGTGAGCTATAGGGCTACGGCTAACGCTAACGCTAACCCTAACCCCGATATTTAGTTTTCTGTCTGATAAGAAAAGCAGTAAATCCTCTTAATTGTGTCGCTGAATCAGAAAATCTTTCTGAATTTTCACGAGAAAAATCACTAAAACGACGGTTTAATGAAGGATTGAAGTTCAGTTCTGCTGACGGGATGGAACCAGAACCAGTCATCTGGTTGTCGGTACCGACGCCACCGATTTTCTACAAATTTCAGGCCAAAAAAGACTTTTCATGACTTTCTTTTATGACACGTTGATGAGTGAACATAGCGTACTTACCAAACAGTTTTGGCTAAAATGTAAGAAGCTCCATCAGTTTACATTTAATCCAGTTGGCACAAGTATGATTTACAAGCTAACACGGAAACTTTCAGAACCTTGGTGGAGCCACGTTCTTTAAATACGCCAGAGTTTCTTCTAGTCGTCATGAAGCTGGGATGTCCCAGTTAGGAACGTCTGGTTCCCGATCCAAACCCAATCCTTTAATGTTTCTGCTGATCGCCGATAACGTTCTCCAAGATAATACCTACTCCAGGTATCGTAGATTAGCTGTAGGACCTGGTTGGAGAAAAGAAGAGGTGGGAAAACCCAGAGCGTTGTAGTAGTAAAGCTAATAAAGGAGACAGAGACTTCCATGTTGACCTCAGGCCAGAAAACCAGCGATAAATGATGTTGGGTTGCGTAAGTTAGCAATCTTGTATCCCAAAGGAACATCTGAGGATCTTTCTTGTGGCTTTTATTCACATTCCTTATTAAAACCGTCTCACAGTGAAGTTCTTGGGATTGACCCCAGTTCAGTGCCCCAGACATCCCTACAACAACCAAACCATGTTCTACTGCAGCAGTTTATAGGCCTCAGTGGGTCGTCTTTTATGTATGTTCTGACCACAAGAACCGGGTCGTAGAACCTCTTTCACTGTGATGTTGAAGGGAGATAAGAGCCCCTTCTTCAGGGTGGACACCGATCTTCTCAATGTTGGACTCAGATAGAAGTCTTGTCCTTTTTTTAAACATTAAAATTCACTGTACACACCAACATGACAAACCTCCAGAGTTGTGTTTCCAACGAGCCCAAAGAACTGGAGTTCTGTCCAGTAGCTGCTGGTTGTGGTTTGGTGTCAACGTTAACGTCAAAGTTGTTGGATTTTGTTGGAAAACTAAAAAATGGCCGATTAAAGTCCTCAACACGTCCAACATCCGCCTGAAGAGCATCAGACTTTCAACTTTTTGTGTTTTCTTTCTGCAGGTCACGCTGCAGAGATGCCACCGCTCCTCTTCGTCCTCGTCCTCCTCTTCCTCACGCCCGCCTCCACGCTGGACTTCCGGTACCATAGCAACCAGGAGATGGAGCAGTACCTGCTGCAGGTCAACGCCTCCAACCCCGACATCGCTCACCTGTACAGCATCGGCCAGTCCGTCTTAGGTAACGACACACCTGCTGCTACTTCCTGTCCGACCCGCTGCGTACAAATGGGCGAGAATACAGATAGATACAGAGATACACTGTAAAAAATATATTGGTTAACAATTTACAGATTTTCCTGTTTTAATAAATGACAGAAAACAACTGAAATCACATTAATTTACATGTTAACCGTAAAAAAATGTTTTTATAAATGATCATTTTTTTCTTTCACGTTTCACCGTTAAATTACAATATTTTTTCTATTAAACCAACAAAAAAATATAATTTTACAGATAATTGCCATTAGTTGAGAGAAAAAAATATTATAGTATTTTAAGTCCTAAAAAAAAACAACAACATTAAAAATCAGTATATTCTGTTTTGTAAATACTTAGACCAATATTTTCCCAGGCCTGGGATAAATAAAGTATTTTATATTCTATTCTATTTTATTCTATTCTTTCTTTACACAATTTCGAGGTTAAAAATCTAAATCTTATTTTACAGATATTTGCCGTTACATGATAGAAAAATGATGTATAGTGAATGTTAAATCATTTTTTAACTGTTGTTTTACAGATTTTTCCTGTTTTGTTAAATTTCTGATAATATTTAATTTAAAAAAACAACAGGAAAACGTATTAATTTCCAACAAAAAAAAAGAAAAACCCTCAAAATCTACATGATGTGCACATGCAAAACATTTTAGTATTCATTTGACATATTTTGAAAGGAAAGTGTGAATTAAGTGTTGAAAACATGTAAATTATTGTCCTAATTATTGAATTTGATAGTAAAATTACACAATTATTCTTTCTGTATCAGTCAGCAGAAAATATATGTTTATGTGTGACTGTAATATTGTAGTTTTACTGTATTTAAATATAAAACTATATATAATTATTTTACAGATATTTTCACCATATTGTCATGTTTTTTTCTGGCACTCTTGCTGCCAGCTTTTCATGGCTTTTCTTTTTAAATCTTTTTTTACAGTGTGTCTCTGAGGTTGTAAACACTCTGCAGGTTGTTTTTCTTTCTGCACCTGAAGCGTCAGAGTTTGAATTTCACACCAGCAGACGTGTGACTTCACCGGGACGGCGTCCGGTGTCAGTCGCCGCGGTAACCAGGACACTGACGGTGTGTCTGTCGGCGCGATGGTGTGATGCGACTGTTAGCGCCGGTTAATTTAATCTGGGACGCCCTAATCTGGCTAATCACACGCACACACACACGGCTAATCCGAGCTAATCCAGGACGCCAGCTGGCCGCCGTCCAGCCCCGTGTGTTTGTGCATTTCTGAGCGTCGTCTGTCGGTTTCTCAGGTCGCCGCCGATGCTGCAGACCTGCCGAGGCTCGCAGGTCCTCGTTCATTCACGTCTCTGCAGCGCGAGCTACAGTCGTCGTGTTTATCTGGAGACTTGTTGCGCCACAAAAAGTCAAACCTGCAGGCTTGGCTTTGCTGAAAACACAATCCGAGCCTCATGGCCGCCCAAACCCGTCTGTACATGTGGAGGGTTTACATAAACTTTATTATATCTTTATTTTTAGCCTTATTTTGTTTTTCTTCTCTTGCTTCTTTCAGGCCTCATTAGAATCTGGCTGCTGTAACTTATTAAGGGATCAATAAAGTTGATCTCATCTTAAAGCAGCATTTGATGTTTTTTCAAGTTTTATGCTATTGGGAAAAAATAAATAGATACGCTGGTCTGCTGTTTTGCTGTAAATCACAGGTGCAGAGAGTTTTCTTCCTGAAGGGGGCGGAGCCAACGGCAGCTTTACCTGCTCTGAGACCAGCAGGATGCTCACGATCACGGAAAAAATGATTATTTTGCAGCAATTTTAGCTTAAAAAAGTCAAGATTTTCTTTCATTTGCTGAAAAAGAAGCACAATACGGAACCTTAAAATGATTTTTGATAAAAGTGGCTCCGGTGGGGGCGCCGCTGTAGCTCACCTGGTTGAGCTGGCGTCCCGTATGCAGGTTCTATAATCCCCGACGTGGAGGTCACGGGTTCGAATCCCGCTTATAGGCCTTTTCCACAAGTCCGTCCCCCATTCTTCTCCCGACTTTCCTGTTTCTTTCTCAACTGCACTATCAAATGAAGGCAAAATGGCCAAAAAAAGTGGCTCAAGTAGCTTCTAAAAATGCCACTAAAACACCTGAACCAGTAAATTAATCTTTATGGATCAGGAACATTTATTCAAAGTCAGCGATGTGGGACAAATTCTACTCGATTACCCTGATTGAATTTCAAATGCAGCTTATTCAGTACCCGAGGTCTCGGTACCAGCAGTGGTGTCCTCGTATTTTGGTGTTTCGGTGTCATTCACAACACGAGACGCTAGAATTCAGACGAATGGATCGAAGCTGCAGAAGCGTCACTGATAACTCATGACTCTGTGTTTCAGGTCGGGAGCTGTGGGTGTTGGCTCTCGGCGTTCGTCCTCGCAGTCACACTGTCGGCATCCCGGAGTTCAAATATGTGGCCAACATGCATGGAAACGAGGTGAACGCACACACTTATACTACACAGGACGCCTCCCGGTTAACAGGAAGCCGGAGACTAAAGAGATCAACAAAAGCCTTTCAGAGTCAAACTCCCTCCATACAGTCCTTTGTGTGCAGACGACAGACTGTGTGGTGACCTGAATTATTCTGTGATGGAACCGGACGGGCCGCTGAGCAAACAGCCCGACATCACACAACACTGTAAAACAAATGTGTGGTTATGAAGTCAATGGAAGCTACGTTTTCCGCAACAGACAGGAAACACTCTGAATGCAGCTCAAACATTCGTCCAACAGCTGCCACGGCAAAGGAAAGCTAATCTCACATGAGGGTTTCCTCACGAATGTAAATCAGTGCTGTGGAAATGTCATTTCTAAGAGACAAGATTAGTTCAATTTAATGCTCGTCTTTGAAATAAAACTCAAGGAATAATGTCTGAAAGAGATAACAGCTAGCAAAAAGTCATAGATTATCACTAAAATAGCCAGTTAAAAGTAATGAATTAAGGTCTGAAGAGATAGCAGCTAGCTAAAAATAATGGATTAATGTCTGAAAGAGGTAGCATCTAGCTACTAGTCATGGATTATCACTAAAATAGCTAGCTAAAAGTAATGAATTAATGTCTGAAAGAGTTAGCAGCTAGCTAAGAGTAATAGATTAATGTCTAAACGCGATAGCAGCTAGCTAAAATAATAGATTAATGTCTGAAGGAGCTAGCTCAAAGTAATAGATTAATGTCTGAAAGAGCTAGCCACCAGCTACAAGTAATGTATTAATGTATGAAGGAGCTAGCTAAAAGTAATTTACTATGTTGGAAGGAGTTAGCGGCTAGCTAAAAATAATGGATTATCACTACAATAGTTAGCTAAAAGTAATGAAATAATGTCTGAAAGAGCGAACTAAAATTAAGAAGTCAATGTTTGAAAGAAATACCTAAAAGTAATAGATTTTGTCCTGAAAGAGCTAGCTAAAAGTAGTGGAATGGTGTCTGAATGAGCTAGCTAAAAGTGAAGGAACAATGTATGAAAGAGGTAGCAGCTAACTAAAAGTAATGTAATAATGTGTAAGACATTAGCAGCGAGCTAAAAGTAGTGGAATGATGTCTGAATGAGCTAGCTAAAAGTGAAGGAATGATGTCTAAGAGTTAGCAGCTAGCTAAAAGTAAAGAAATAATGTCTAAACCAGCTATCTAAAAGAAACTGATTATGTCTGAAAGAGCTAGCAGCTAGCTAAAAGTAATACGTTAATGTCTGACGGAAGTAGCACAAAGTAATGGATTAATGTTTGTAAGAGCTAGCAGTTAGCTCAAAGTCATGGGATGCGCTAACAGCTGAAACAAAACGTTCTTTCTTAAAGGATATAACGATGTGGGGGATATATTTGTATGTGTTACAAGAAAGAAATTGTATATTTCTATTATATTTATAGTCATGACATTAGCAGAAAGTTGGTCGAGCAGCAGAGACTGAAACATCTCACTGGAGAGATTCATGATCCCCAGGCGATGTATCGTCTGGATCTTTTTGCCTTCGCCTCCTGTAAAAGCTGACATGGATTTTATGACTATTTCTGACCCCGCCTTGCTTCGGTTTGCTGCTGCCTGGCGTTGAAATGCTGCGGGCTGCTTTTTCCTGTTTTGATGAGCTTTCACTGAAAGCACAATACTGGCTGTTTCATCGTATCTCAGAGCTTCCCAGAGGCTGAGATTTTACTTGTGTTGGGTGTAACCGATATGCGTGCAGAGACTCGCTGTTTAAAGTGGGCCACGTGTTGTTTTCTGAAGCTACTATTTACGGATGTTCCTTAAACACCTCCCTTAGGCCGCTGTGCCCAGAGAAGCCTCTAGTCTCCGCTCAGTTACTGCAGCCAATCAGACGCCTGTGAGACCAAACAGGAGTCAGAAATGATTGAAATAAAACTGAGCTGCTCAGAGGCATGCATATGGACCTGTTCAATCTCAGGTGCGATCGACGTCTATTAGCCATAGCATGCTAGCAGGGTTAGCCTTTAAAGCTGAGCAAACATATTAGAATCTGCACAGGTGCGTCGACAATATGGCTGCATCCTCAGCGCTGACAAAGAGAAAAAAAGGCAGCGTTGCTTTGTGCAGCTGAAACTGGATTTAATGCAAGCAGGCAGGTTTATTTATGCAGCACCTCATCCTACATAAAGGCTATTTAAAGGCAGAGGGTGATTTCATCTATTTATAGGCTTTGCAGGTCACAATCTGGCGATGCAGCATCAGTGACGTATATTTCTTATTGATGTTTAAGCTTTTCTTTTAGTTTTCTCTTCTGCACTGACAGTGCACCGAGCCGTGACCCTATAACTGAGGGTGCAAGTAGTGACTAGAAACAGTTTTTCCTCGAGCAAGCAAACTGCGGGAGGCATTTCCTGCATCAGCACATTCGGCAGGAGTGAGGTCATCGCTGTGGGGAAATGTGTGACAAAACTGAAGCAGCAACAACAGACCAGATAAAGGTGCGTTCAAGGCGTGCAGGATGCAATAAATCGCAGATAATAATCACACTGAAAATGAATAGCGACGAGTTGAAACAATGAGTGTGCAAGCGAATGTGCAGCGTGATGGAAATGGCGAGCGGCCTCTGACCAGCATCTGGTTGCCGCGGCGACAGCGGACGGCCGATGGCGCTGCAAGTGTGCAAAAGTCAATGGAAATGTCCTTAAATAGACAAGTCACGCCTCGACACACACACAGTCAGCAAACAGAGTCGCTGGAGTGTGTCGGTTCAGAGGAAACGTCCTGGGAACAAAAAAAAAAAAAGGCCCCTTTCTCCTCCGAGTCCACGCATCATAACAGCAGGAATGTGCGCTTAATTTGAAAGTTGAAAAGGTGTCGTGTAGCGTTCATTGTCTGTTTCTGGTGTTGGTGCGAGCAGTTCCCAGCAAATAACTTTGTGTGTGACTGGAGTTTATTCCCCGTGAGGCCGCCGAGCAGACTAAATAACCTCATTTATACCGAGAGGATGAGGGATTCTGGCAGCCTGATTGTATTATATCTGCTGTTTATATATATATATATATTTTTTATCTCTTTATATTGTCTCGCGCTCCACTCCGGTGGGTTCTTCTGCAGACTGAGGAGACTACGTGGAACAACTGTGAAGTGGCTGAACTGATATGACTAATAATAAAATACGTGATTTGATTTTAAAACATGGGGCCCGCTGTAGAGCAGAACAATAAATGTAAATATAAAAGCAGTTACAGGCTCAGCAGGTTCATCTGCACTAGTAATTGTAGAATGGTAGCGATGAGGTGACAGAAATGTGTTTAAAAAGTCTGAATATACAGTTTAAATAGTTAACTGAAGGTCATGGTTCATGTCTGAGACCAGAAAAGTAATAAATAGTGGAAATATTTAGCTGAAACTAATAGATGAATGTTTGATGTACATGTTTGAAATGGCTGAAAGTAAAGGATTGGAAATAACTGAAACTAAAGAATAAACAGTGGTGGGATCCTTTAGTAGAAAAATAAATGCATTAATGTCTGATAGAGCTAGCTAAAAGTAATGGATTGTCTGAAAGTGGTAGCAGCTAGCTCAAAGTTTAATGTTAGCAGCTAGCTCCTGTGATTGTATTAATGTCTGATAGAACTCGCTAAAACTGACGGGATATGTCTGAGAGAGCTAGCAGCTAGCTAAAAGTT